TGCTCCGTCGGGTTACCCCCATGCTGTAGAGCTCGTAGAAGACCATCTGCTGTGGGTCATAGGGAAGGAACCTCAGGGTAGCGAAACACTCTTTTTCAACCAGAATTTATGGGCAATGACGTGGTGAACTGGCCCATGATTCCAAACAAAATGACTCCACCATGCGCCCTTTTAGGCGCCCGCGCACGGCCGCTGTGTGTCGAGCCCAGTTGCTCCAAGAGGGGTCGGACAATTGCTTCAAGTTGGCCTCGGGGGCCGCGGTGAAGGAACACAAACGCCGCGGATGAGCGAAGCAGCGTAGGTCTCCTCCGAACACTCTGTCACATCCGGAGGATGTTAAGCCGTCATGTCTAAACCACCTCGCCTGTTCAGAACATCCCAACACCAAGAAATTGGCACCATGAAGTTTCATGAAGTTTGGTGCCCCAGGACTTTCCGCCCACAAAGCACGAGAAAGCGTGCATTTCCGAGACCAAGAAATCCAATGGAGCTGAGGACGACAGCTTCAGTGGTGGATCCTGACCAATCCCGCAGAATGCATTTGAGACTTCACCGTCTTGGCCAAACCTCTTGGCATCCTCGCGAACAAAGTGTGATTGCTCTCCCAGAGCTTCAGAGGCACCAAGGCCTTCTCCTCGCACATGGCGCTCTGAAAACAGCGCCCGAACTCCAGGGAACACGACCGTGACCGAGAAAAACATGATTTGAACATAGAGGTAGAAAAGGAATGAAAAGGGCACCATCTGTATCTCCAAGGAATTTATGGGAAACAACTGCCTATCTATGGGACTTCCAGAATCTGCACCTTGCCTAAAGGGGGTGTTCATGGACAAAGTGTCTCAGGATGCCTCTAGTAGGTGTGTTTGACAATACCCTCCACAGGGAGATCCCCGCTCCATTCGCAAGCTTCGGCGACCTTTGACTTGGACCGGAACCCCAGCGACCTGACCCAGATGCAGCACAGGCAGTGTCTGCCATGTGGTCGACGGCCGAACATGGCCGAACCGGCAATCTGCTGGAGTGTTTGATGGAGACACGTCCGGATCAAAGACTTCGTGAGCACAAGTGTGAACCACGCGGCCCCCCTTTGACCCCCCATTGCTGAGGCAAAGCCGCTTTGTCGGCCAGGATTTGTCGTGTTTGGGTGCTGCATATCATAATCATCATCATCATCATCATCATCATCACCACCCAAACACAGACGTGCCGCACTGGGCGTGCAAACATCTGGCGATCATCAAGAGACCTCTCTTGAGGGTCACTTGAAATTCAAGGGACTCTATATAAGTGCGCCTCAAGTCACTTGGATGAATGAGGGTCCCTAAATAAGTCCAAGTCCCTTTATACAAGTCCAAGTGACAGTCACAGTCACTTATATAGAAGCCACGAAATTGGTCCTATAGAAGCCCCTCAAGAAGCCCAGGGCACCCCTCAGAAGGTCCAATCCCCTTTCTCTCTCCTCGAGCTTTCGAAGTGCTGCCACGAAATCGTTCAAGACCATGGCCTCAGCGCTCGCTCGCGGTGAGGACGGACGTTGGGGGAAATGGAAAATGGATCAGATCTGGGAAATAGTTTTCCAGGGAAGAGCTACGTAGAAGAAACGTCGCGACTTGAAGTTCTTTCAGTTCTTTCTTCAGTTTCTTCATGTGTTCAGGTGTTCATTGAGATGTCTCGCAAACAAAATCAATCAATCAATCAATCAATCAATCCATCCATCCATCCATCCATCCGTCCATCCATCCATCCATCCATCCTTCCTTCAATCCAATCCAATCCAATCCAATCCAATCCAATCCAATCCATCAATCAATCGAGGTCACCGAATTTGACGAAAAGCTGGACCAGTGTTTTCAATACCCGCGAGGCCCCTGCCAGGTCCACGGGCACGAAGATGGATTTCGTGACCAAGATGGATCTCGAAAACCTCAAATCGCGTAATACTGACGTCTGAGGGGAATCGAGAAAGTTCGATATCTGATGCAATCGGATTTCTCTTGGGCCTTGCCATCAGTCTTTGGCCCATCCGAAATCGGATTTCTGGGGGTACTGCTTCAGTCTGGTGGTCGGCTTCAGTCGGATGTTTGGTCTTGGCTTCGTGGGGTAATTTATAATGCGTTAGGAGCACGAGTGTCCAGGACGCTTCTGCAGCCAAGCCTTAATTCATCTAATTACTGATATATAGTTATATATATATATATAAAATAATACAACATAATATACTTTATACATTTATATACCATCTGGCTGTTTTTTAAACCATCTGGCTGTGGGTAAAAAAACGGATGCCCAAACCAGGGTAGGTCGACCTCCTTAGTAGTCCATAATGATGATTTCGGTGGTCAACCCAGGTAGCCCGGTTTTACCCACTGCCATATATCTGCCTGGGCTAGTGCACTTCTGTTCGCACTGAACACATCGAGTTCCTGGTCTCCAAAAACTCGTGAAGACCAAGGGTTCTTGATACACGATGTCAAGTTCCAGAGTCTTGCTACACGAGCGTGACGTTGGAGTGGTGCCCTTTCCAGCCTCCAGTCCAGAATCAAAAACCAGCTTCATTAGTACGGGAACCTCCGAGTTTGCAAACAGGTGGGAGTACTGTGGGATCTCCCCATCTTCATGTCCAAGGGTATGAGCTCCAGACGTTGACCGGTCAGGTCCTCTTCATTCCTTTCCATGACTCTCCGGCCTCCCCGCGGATAGAGGCTGATAGCTGGCACCAGTGTAGAGCCCCAGCGGACGGACCTAGAGAAAACGGACAGGTGACCTGGGGGAAAGGGCCACATCTACCACCCCCGCTGTGGGGTGGTTAATAGACACCCATTGAGCCTGGTAAGGAGCGATACACTTGGACACCCCGTTTCAACGGGGGGGCCCTCGTAACGGTCGCATCCGACTTCACAGGTCAACACTTGCGACCTAGGGCCCTTCCCAAGCCTTTTGTCTAGAGGTACCAGGTCCAACAACAACTGCCAAAAATCGCCTAATGGATCCATTGCCACCCTCTGAGAAGGTTGAAGACCGATCTGCACCAGCAAAACCAACATCTCACAAGGGCCCACAGTTTAGGGTGGTATGGACACGAACTCATTACCTTTATAGCTGTGTCACGTCGCTGCGTGTCGGCGAAAAGAGCCGACTTGCTTGGCTTGGGAGATGTTGAGAGAAGCGAGCCGGTCTGGCGACTTGGCATCCTCCCAAGCTGGATGTGGGTGAACAGAACCGGTTTACCGCGTGTGTAGGTTTTTTTTCGAATCTGTTTAAGGCTTGAGGAGGATGCAAGCCCGGAGGTGTACCTGTGAGAAGAGGGTTTCAGCTTTGTGATTGGCATCAAAGGTGGAAATTGAAATGCTGGCCACAGCGTCAACCCTCCACACTGTGCCTTCCTCAAAGCCTAGGGCCGTGGCGACAGGCACATGCACCCCGGAGTGCCAATAGATCAAGGCCCCCAAGTAGGGCGACATGCACGCGAAGCTATTCCCTCAGCTGCGCGCAAGCGCGGTGCTTTCTTGGTGGCACAGGGTTGGAGTTTCAAGGCAAAAGCTCGGGTTGGAGTGGCCCTTGCAAGAGACCTATGCCTATGGACCTAGAACGGTCTTAGTAGATGCTGTTTCTGCAGTTTCCGAGGTTTCAGATGCGTAGAGAGATCGATCTTGACACAACTTCAGGGATGCAGGTTGGGAGCTTTGCGCGAAGTGAACCTTCAGTCTCACCGGTCTCGCAGCTCTCAACCGGAGACATCCCCAAAGTTAAGATCCTACAATGAGGTTTCTGATCTTGATTTCAGGTCACTTGCAGATCCTGAAATCAGAAGGGCTTGATCAACTGAGTATTGTATCTGCTCACTTTCGAGGGTTAACTTACTCGTGTTAGGCTTCGAACTGCCCGCGTCTAACCTCCCAAGTGAAAGTGAAAGGTATCTAGTCATGGTACCCTCCAGAAGAAATAATCTGTCAGATTCTGTCCATTGTCATTCATGCCCTGCGGTCTGACCAGCAACATTCATGCCCTGCGCAGCAAACCGAAACCGAAACCGTAGCCCAGTGACAGGTCCGACGCGTGACGCGGTCAACATGAACTCTGAACCGACTTGTTGGGGATCAAGGCCTGTTCACATATGTTCACCCATCCCGTGGTGCGATTTCGTTTGAACCGGCTGCCGGATGTTCTGCCTTCGTAGCAAACACCAGCCAGGCACGTCGTGCCTGGTCCTGCAGAACTGATTCCTGCAATCAACAAAGTGTCCATGGAATGACTTGCTCGAGGATGAGTCCGGTCCATGTTTGGATGGGAAAGTGCTTCACCCCAAAGATAAACCCCCAATTGCCTCCATTGTTCTAACTCAACAAGAATAACCAACCGGATAGATGAGGTGTTGTCTTCTATTCGAGAGTGGAAGGTCTTGCTGAGATCAGCGATGTCAGCACTTTGGTTGTTCAAGATTTCAGCCCAAGACACTGGGATTCACCACCAACTCGTCCCGGAAGACCTGACGAGGCCCGTCGCTTCGTTCCCCAGGCCTCCCCGGTTCCTGGTTTCGGTGGGTTCGGTCGATTTGGGCCTCCAAAGGGCCGCGCCCTCCCGGTGGAAGGTGCAAAGATGGTGTTTCAGGGAGGCAGAGGAGCTCCCAAAAGACCTCCCGTGGCTTCAGTGGTGACGTAGTCTTCTGTGTACTCAATGAGTTCTTTGAGCGTTGACAAAAGCGGGCATGCTCGTCGCGCCTTTGCAAGGACACCTGTGGTTTGAGCATCTTCGACCCAATTCGCTGCACATCCCAATCCAAGGCATCCCACTCCGAACTGTCGTCCAGCCCGCCTTGTAGAAGTTCTCCTGGAGAACATCAAGCCGATTCTGTTGCGTTCCCCGCACGCAGATTCCCATCCCCATAACCCACAGCTAGCCGCCACTGCTTGAACAGCTGTCAGCTTTCAGCACTGTTATCATGACACAATATTGATCTTCTGGACCAACCGTAGACGTCTTTGGGCGGCCTTTGGTGCAGTTCACAGCACCCTCTCGCGCGCGGTGCAGTGCTGTCTCCGCTGTCTCCGGCTGTCTCTGCCCTCCTGGGGATGCCCAGGACGCAAGTAGGCACCAAAGGGGTTGCCGATGTACCCAAAGATCGGCTTTCCAAGGCCTCACCACCCCGCGCGAAGCCTCGCTTCGGCCGCTTCGGCGGTTTCCGGTTTCGCACGTTTTGAGCCCAGAGGTGAAGCCGGGGGTGTTCCGGCAACCTGATCTAGATGTGGTGTATAGGGATAGCCATGGAGAGAAAGACCGGTAAATGCCCCAACTGAACTTGGACACCTCAAGTTCCCGCAACAAGTCGCGTAAATGCCAAGGAGATCGTTCCTCAATCGGCAGGGACCACGGCCCTCTCCCTCCACCAGTGGTCGGTCCCTTCCGTCACCCCGAGCACCCGGGCCCCGAAACATCTGGCAAAAGAACGGCGGCTCGGAGCACATCAAGATGTGCGCCCGGCGGATGCCGGACTCCACCTGCGGGAGCGGACGGGGAGCGAGTCTCGCGAGTCGAGCGAGCGAACGGCGTCTGGCGTCTTGGTGGGTCGACGGGTCGGAAGAATTCCGCACAGGGAAAAGAAACGGTGAAGCTTCTAAGTGCTAGAAAGCTTTATTACTAAGAAGCTTCAAAGGCATAGAAAGCTTTATTGGTACTGGTACCGATGGCCTCCAACCTAATAGGGATGGCCTCCACCTAGTAGCTACTTGGGGAAGACTTCTTTGACTGGACGTGAAGAACCGAGTCCAAGTGGCCAATTCTTCTTGTACTTGATGCTGAAGATTCATTGTTAAAAAAGAAAAACTGGTGCACCACAACCATGCAGCCAAAAAACTCGAAGGAAGAGTGACTGGACACTGGACTGCTTCACAGAATCATACAGCCTACCCTCTTTTTTTCCAAATCACCAGAGTTCTCACAAATCCACCAATCACCAGCTGGGTTGATCAAACAGTACAAAAACACACGACGCTCAACCACTCAACCTCTCCCTTCACCAAAAACCTCCAGCACCAAAAGTACTACAGTATACCACTTAGACTTAGCCTGCAGCAAGAACTGGATTCACAGATCTCCTCCCACCTGCCGACACGCGGTGGCATCCGTTCTTCGTCCCCGCACCCTCCGTTCTTACCCCCCCCCCCCAAACCGTTCCCATCCGTCTGCAGATCGGTATTCCCTGGAACTAACGAAGTGGCGAATGGCCCCGTAAGGAAGACCATGAAATCCACTACAAACAGGTGGTCCACTTCGGACGTTCCAGGGAGAGGGGGATCGAACCAAAAACCGCTCCTGCGCGAGGGATTGGAACTCCTTCTCCAAGGTCTCAGCGGCCGAGAAGTGCGGAAACCTCGGGCGGGTTCTCGAACGATCGACGCATCACTCGGGAACTCTGGGGGCTGGGGATCCGGGGATTCCCAAGCTGGTACGGAACTTCCAGGACCGGGAATGGAAGCGGGTTGATGTAGACCCAAATCCGATCCACTCCATGTCTACTCACCCCGCCCCATTGCAACGGGTCAGCTGTCGGAACCTCATCCCATCTCATCCCATGGTTCAGCCTGGGCACTTATTGAGCTCGTTCAGGGCTAAGGCACTGGGAAGCAGATGTCGTTTCAAAAGCTCCTCGGTTCTCTGCCGATCCTTCCGGTGAGCTTCAGCTTCTTCCGGGAGAAGCATGGGGTTCCAGTCACACGATTTGCCCAGCACGGGTTCTTCTGTATTGCCTTGAGATTTGAGCCTAGAGAATCAGGTGAAACTGATGCTTCCAAAAGCTAGGGCTCCCTAAGTAGAGCACAAGGTCTTTGCCGGCCAGAGCTTTTGGCAGGGTAGGGAGCTTGATCTGGCGTAAGCCCAACGAAGACCTATACATGAGTAACCTTAAACGCTCAATTCTTGGCTTGGAACAGGTCTAGCCCGTTGCCCAGAACTATAGTAGTGCCTCTGCCACTACCTCTGCGCTATCTGGATTGTAGGTTCCTTGAACATCAACTCCTATCCGACTCGGCACTCCGTCCGGTCAGGGCCCTAAAACGAACCTTTCGCAGTGGTTTTTGGGCCAAGAGGCCACCAAAGGCAGGTTCTCAGTGCATCGGCCCAGCAAGTTGCAATAGTTCCGCGCCAGCACCATCCTGCCAACGCCCGATTTCCGGACTTCGAGTCGAGGCCAGGGCACACGGAGAGCCTGGCAACCACGCTGCAATGGACAGAATGACAAGATCTATCATAATGAGAAACACAAGTACAATGCAACTGATACTTAAGGATTGTTATACAATAACCACATCACATATTACCACCAAATACAGTCCTGTGCTCAGTGCTGTCCATCTACTTTCAACTACTTTCAGGGCCAGGAATTCATGCACGACAACACTGGGCTCTGTGTAGCACGCTCAGCACTATCTAGGATGATGGTTTACACAGTGTGCTGGTGTAGATCCTTTTCTGTCCTTTTCCTTCAACAATAGTATGAGGACCGTCCATGTCTGAATAATGATGTATTTGGTCTATTTCCACCGTGAGGGCTTTCCATTGTGCATCACCCAGTGCGGGTCAGTGACCCCTGGAATCGATCCCAACCATATGTCCGTGGGAAGAAGTGGCGCTCCACTGGGGCACCCTGCTCCACGCTGATCCTCCAGCCAGAAGCCTCGGCAGGATGCGAACCCTTTGTTGTGCCAGGTATGGTGCGCCGTTGCCCCAGTAAGCTCTCCTCTACATAGCGGGCTGTGGTTGCTCTCTTGATTGCCAGAACACCCTTTCATCTATTCATGCCAAAGGTTAAGACACTGCTGGATCAAGTGGTTTGTCTCCATGTGATAGGAGACATCACCAAATAAGAAGGCAGCGATGGGTAGAAGGGGTCAATGAACATATAGACTTGGGAATCCAGGTCAGCCACTACCTATCAGCAGCCTTGTATAGCCAGATTTGGCCACATGGAATTGAAATGGCCGAATCAATTGATTCACACAGCTGAGGACATCCTGAACTGGCTAGATCCCCAAAATGAGATCGTTTTGCCTTGCCCAACAAAGGGTATCTACAGTAATTGTTGTAATTAAACCAGTGTATCAGCATTGGGAGTCTACCCCCAAGCTACTGGATGATTCACATGCAGAACCGGTCTATGTCTTTCCCATGCCGATGATCCGAGAGTTCTTCTCGGCCCTTCTCCCCCCTGGCGAGCCAAGCTGCCGCTAGGATCTCTCGCCACACACTCTCCGGCTCGCTCGCCAGCGTCGCCTGGGGCGAGCAGTCGAAAAAGCTCGGTGGCAGCTCCGATTGCAGCGTCCTCTGGCTCCGGTCGTGGCTACAGGCCAGGGCGGAGCCCCTGGTATGTAGCGTCGGGACCGCCACCAACAAGCAGACCTCAAAAAAAAACAGGTCAAAGGCCGGACATCAACTCAGGTTCGGAGGAGAGGGTGCTTTCAGAGTTGGTGATGGTAGAGGAACTGATGGAACTGATCACGGAAGCTCCAAAATGAATTTCAGACATCACCTCCCGGTTCCAAAACACGTGGACCACGTTGATCGCGCCATTGATCCGCCCCACCATCTCCGAAGTATGGCTTTGATTCACCCTTTGACCATGGACTCTTCAGGCCTGGGATGAACTCTCCTCCAGATGTCCACCTTCAACTTCGCTCTTTTTCCTTCACCCAAAATACCTCCAAAATAGCTAGAAGTAGGACCTCCACCCCATCCATGGCGCATCTTCTCCGAAATCTTCCACCTTCTTCCTCCCCGTTCGGGGAAGACCCAGCGGCTTCTTCTGCCTCCCAGCGGCGTGAAGTCCAAAGGCCCAGACGCGCACCTGGCGGGGCGCGGGGCGGTGGGCCACGAGACGAACCGTGGAGGGCTGACATAAGCGGCTGCAGGGTTTTGAATGGGAAAACAAGCCATAGCCGTTTGCTGTATCTTTGTCTGCTCCTGCTTCCAGCGACAGCTTACACAATTTCCACGTGGCCAAGTCTAACTGCAAAAACAGATGGCTGATCTGGTGCAAAGTAGATTGCATGAGGGTCTCTTAGATTTTGGATCTTGTGGCTGTTGAAGTAGCTGCTCAATTCTCTCCACGTTATTCCCTCCACGTGCACGAAGCAGTTCTGTCTGCCATCTCATCGTCGACCACCGGTTCCACGGAGCTCATCCTGGTTTTTTGCTCGACAACCGTTGTGCCAAACACAGCAAGCAATCACCTTCCATGCGTTTTGACGGCTCAGACATGAACAGTGCCATTAAGCCTGACCATGCGTTCTGGGATGCGATCCGACGTCCTCGAAGGCCAGCGACCATCATCACGAACAGCACAGCATGGTGCGTGGGAAGGACTGGACCCCTTCTTGTCCAAAGGAGGCCCCCGAAACTGCGTCACTCGTGCGTCGCTCAAGTGAATGAATGGATTCTCTTGTGGGGGGGGGGTCATTCCCTCATTCTCTACGAGTCCAGTCAGGGAGGGTCCAGGACTCGCGTGGAGCTCGAACCATCCAACGCACCAACACATCGAAAGAGCCGTCCTCGATTCCTCGATGCGTTCGACGGAGTCATACCAGCTATCTGGATGATGTTTCAACCTCCGAGGTAGAAGAGCTTTTACAAATCAACCTCCCACAGGTGGTATGGTTTCTTTTTAAATCAAGAGTCTATGCACGTTCGCCTGCAAAGAAAATGAAAGTTTGCTGAAGTTTGTATCAGTGTCTAAAAACCAGAGTCTCCTTTCACCGAGAGCTTTTGGGGGTCTCCGTGTTGTCAGCACACCCCAATACCCCATGAGCAAGTGCCAACCCCGAGCAACCCCCCTGGTGCCGTCGTTCGCCCTAGCAGCCACCATGTCCTGCCTAAGAAACCTTACGAGGGATGGCAGTCACTGCCAGGGTTGCATAATATGTGTCCAGAGTTTCGGACACCACAATGGCAGTTAGGGCTTTGCTTATGACTCATGACTCATGACCCATATGAGGAATGTTCGTCAAAAGCAAGTGCTCCCGGAAATGAGACTGGATTGGTAAATAGACATAGGGGCTCATTTCCCCATGTCAGCCAATCTCCGTCACGAAAAAGAGATCTCAAATCTTGGACCATGCCACAGGTGCTTTCCTTTTGGCCAACAAAGCCCATTGTTGCACAACTTCATCGAGCATCTCCTTAGACAACCACAGCAACCAGTCGAGCGCAACCACTTCATCTGCATAGTAATGCATAGTACATGAGGTTCATCCATTCAAAGAACCACGCGCACTGTGTTCACTCCCCACGGAGCCACCACACCTCACGTGGGGCATCGCCACCCACGAGCACCTGCGCTGGCACCGGACCGGAACCACCCTTTGAGAGTCAAGAAAATGAGAAAATCCCATGGAACCCGTGGTCACCCTAGGCCAATGATCTCACCTGCAACCAACCTCTCACCGAGTCTGCGCCCGATGGGTTTCACCGAGCTTGATTCGGAGCTTCGTGCCGTTTTTGTGGTTCCACTGGTAAAAACGGTCAAAACAGATCCTGAACGTCACCTGAAGAAACACTAAGATATATATAGTATGTATAAGTGAATATTCGCATTCTACCAGCTGTGGGTCCACTGCTTGGTAGGACTTGCAGGAGCGATTCAAAGTTCCACGACAAAACTATGTAAAGATTTGAAATGAATTTCCACCGGTATATAAATCTCCATGCAGCCCCTATAGTACCCTTGATTCTTCCCTCAGCTACTCTGGAAGAGGATCTTCGAAAGTAGTGGTGCCCCAATAGATAGAAGTGACGTCCAATTGTCCAATAATCCATGCAATAGATTGCTTTTTGGAAGGGATGAACACTGTTCGATCTATTCTGGCGTGGATTCGATTGTCCAAGGTTTTAAAGAGTCCTCGAGGTCGGTTTTCGGTCCCTACCCCGCCTGCCAACTCGCAGCTCCGAACCACTCCGGTGTCTCCGAGCCGTACGGCGCGGCTGCCCGACCACCGATCCCGATCCGTGGGTCGCCTTCGTCGCCGGCCAGGGCTGGGACGGGAGCAACTTCCACCTGCGGATGTCCAGATCAGTGTGAAACGGTGCGATTCCCAGATGACGTGGGACGGTGCAGAAATGTGTTTCACCGAGATGTTCGGCCGGATGGCTCGATGTTTTCGACATGAAAAAGACCACTTCAAAAGACAAGGATGGACCGATACCTGGGCATACAAAGGTCTTTTCGTCATCGGAAAGGACATGAAAAGATCCAAATCATCGGAATCAAAAGACAGACCACGGGTAGTTTGTCCATCTGTCAGATTTCTATGCTTTCTAGACAAGAGTGTTGTCCATTCTTCTTTCAAACAACACAGCAACAGGAGTGTGCTTTGCGCGTTTAAGATTTCCTGGTACCTGGGAATTGGGATCTTCTTTGGTTGGTGAAAACAAGAACAATCCCAAGAAACATCATGAAACATCTGAGTTCGGGATCACATCGGATCACCATTCCAAGTGGGATGAACGTGGATTGCTACAACCTCTCGGTCGCCATGATGTCGTCTTCGCCTGTCTCTCACGTTCCCATGATGTCCTGAAAAAGAATGGGTGTGTAGCTTCTTGCTACTAGCAACAAGTGCATTGCTACTAGTACGTAGCAAATAGCTATACTATACTAGCTTCTTGCCACAGTTGAGTAATGCCTTGTTACTAGTAGCGATGAACTGTCTACTCTATCAAAATAGGGAGGAGACCTCCCAGTTCGACCCCCTGGCAGGTTCGGACAATATTTTTCGACCAGTCTACCCATCGGGGCGGGTTGGGGGGTCTACCTATTCAACTACCCTCACATTCATCGAAGAAACAGCGACATGGCACCCTCCCACCGTGGATCTGCAAACGATCCACCTGACCAGCCACCCACAGCGTGCCCCTTTGCGGAAGGGGTGGGAGAGCCGGGGGTTCGTCGTTCGGTTCGCCGTTCCGCCTGCCACCCCCACTGGGTGGGCGCCAACGTATGCTATGGGCAGGAGTTGAGGAGGCCTCACAGGTCAGGACGGCACGCAGGTTGCCCTTATTCAGTCGTACCGCCGAGGCGAGCAGTTCCCCCAAATCAGGAACAGCAGGTACCCAAGGATGACCCGGTGACGTTTCTGCACCAGAGCAAGTTCACCAGTGATTGATTGACTCATCACCCAGGCGTTCAATGCCAATGCCACCAGGATCACCGGATCCCGACACACACGGCAACACCTCCACCCTGCAATGATCGCCTCCGCAATGATCTCCTGGCATGAGCGGAGCGGAGCAATCCACGCCGTTCCGGTGCCCTGAAAAGAGAAGCCACCCTTAGGGTCTCAAGGGCTCTGACAGGGTCGGAAGAAGTGGAAGACTCCCTGCTGACCTTCCTGAGAAAACGTGTTATATAAGTGTCTCAAAGTCCAAGTGGCGGAGATGTTCTCCAAGCCAAAAGGCCAGGGGGAGCTGTCCAGCAGCAGCAGCGGCATGTTGGGCGACCTGGTGGTTTCACCGCCGCGGGTCGCGGGTCGCGGCGGCTCCGCTGGGCCATTGTACCATGCGGCGGTGAAGCGTGTGGCATGTGGGTGTGTGGCACACCTCTGATCCCACTTAATGAATCGACCTTCGAAGAGCTGCAATTTGCATGGAAAAAGACCCGAAATGCGCAAACGTGCCTCTCGTACACAAGGAGAAGACGGGTGGTTTGTAGGAAGCCACTTTCAGTGACCAAAGACTCGACTACTCAAAGTGAATTGATGCAAGAAATCTGGCACCACCTGGGAAAGACCTGGAACCCCAGAAACAGGCCCAAAAAGTGATGCCCAGCACCAACCGAATGTCCTCCCGAAACCTGGGAAACCCCCGAGGTTTAACACCGAGAATTCGTGGCAACTGGGGTGAAAAGCAGCAAGCCGGCCAGGCCTAGGCCTTTTTTTGGTGCTCAGATCTGGTGAAGAAAACCATGCTGAGAATGAGAAAACTTGCTGAGAAACTGACGCAGAAAAGCCACCTGATTGCTCCATGCGATGCGCCATCGGTGCCCGTGGTGCCTCCACAGGGTCTGCAAGACCCGCAGCCACTCGCGCTGCTGCACCTGCCAACCAAGGGCGCTTTTAACGCCAAATCCTTCAGTCAAAGTCAAAGCATCAGAAATAATGTAAGGCACACCTCAGCACTGTGGCCTCGAATGGTTTGCCAGTCGCCAGAATGAACCACAGCTTGGAAATACTGAGCAAATCTGAGCAATATGTATATAGTTAGATATACACCGCATTCTTGTGGTTTACTGAAAAGGAGTTGCAGGCACAAGCACGTGAGTGATTGAAGATGCTGCGATACGAATGTGGAGTTTGCAGGTCTCAGAGAAGAAAGAAAGCAGCCCTCGATGTGATGGCAGCTACACATGTCTGTTGATGGCACCAATTGTCCATCCATCTTCTGTGGCAACCAATTGCAATCAACCAGCGGGTCATGTCCGACGTGGTGGCCCAGTCTGTGCAGATGCAGATGACGGTCCGTTTTTTCGGCTCAGCGCATGGCCTGGAAGGTTCCATCCAGCAGCTCCACGGAACATCTCTTGGAATTCATGTCGAGGGCCTCAGAGAACACAGCGAATAAACTTGAATGTTGAGGTCTAAAGTCTAAACCCACTTTGAGTTGAAAAAACACTGGACAATTTGTAGTGCAGCATCCCTCAACTGACGCCCGCATCTAGACGCTTGGACGGTTGGCTGATTTTCTCGGCCTGGCAGACTTTCAGACGCCGCAGCATAGTCTGCTCGGACCAATGTCAGGACCCTTGACAAAAGTGACTGCAGACCTCGCCGAGGCCCTGCGCCGCTCTTCTGTTCCGCCATGCAAAGCAAGGATCTGGCTGTCCGACGCCAAGATTCATTGCATTGATGCATGTATATTAGGGTCGAAGTGGTCGTTTCATGAGATGGGACCGCATCCTCCCTGCGTGCCTGCCTCGACCAGCTGGAGGGCTCGAGCAGCTCAGGCTCGGGTCATTGTACAGTAGGCGTTCGATTGGTTTGGCCACGATTACGAGGCTCGTCTACCAGGCCACGCTGTGTCCTTAGAGGTGTGAGAGAATTGCTGCACCTGCCACAACATCATGAAAATGAGGCCCACTGCCACGGATGTCTGGTACACGAAGATGCCGCCTTTGTGCGACTTCAATCCAAAAGTTCACGATTCACCTGGCCTTTACACTTACTGGCAGCACCCCGCAGTGCGTAGCGAGTCTTTGTGAAACAAAGCCTTTTGTAGACTTTCAGTGTCCTTGGTTTATTGAGCCACTACCAAATCGTAGGGAGTGTTTGGCAAAGTCTTATATAGGTTATTGAGAGTAGATGGCACAGACCCCAATGTCGGTGGTTTATATGGACCCCTATCTGTCTAGGACATCATGAGGTCTGTGCCATCGAACCTCTGAAACCGCTGTATAACATATGTTCCCAAGAACAACAGAGCTTCAATGGGGTCAAGGGAGCCAGGAGAAGCTGTCATTGGTAGGAACCCCTTGCTACCACACAACCAGTGCTCACACAACCACACAACCCTGAACTCCTACTGTGCTCACTGAAATGAAACTCGTTGGTCTGAAAGGCCCAGTGCCATGTTTTTTCGTTAGGGAGTGGGGGCTGCTCTGTGTTCAGCAGAATGTTGTCGATGGATATGCTGTTCTGTTCCATTCAGAATCGGCTGGTCCAATGTCTGTGGGCTGTGGTGATTGAATTGGGAAACCACTTCAACAAAACCCATTGACTGGACTGGTAGAGAAGCTAGACTTAACCCCACCCCTCATTTCAGTCAAAGGACCTCCTCTTCCAATGTTCACCTTCACTTCTCTAACCATCTGAAATCATCTACACCCGTGGCCACCAGTGTAAGCGGCCAAATCGTCATGGATTTGGGTGTTTATATCCCAAATTACCAGGGGCCCAGTGGATTCTTCTTTTTGGGTTAGGTTGCAGGCGTTTCTTTAGAAGAGTGATAGTCTTTGGACATAGTGAATCCATCATCCACGGCACAGGTGTAGCCCTGGTGTAGCTGGGCGGCGTCCCACCGGTGCGAATTCAACGTCGCCGTCCCAGCGGCGATGCGCAGCGCCACGGCCAAAGCCTCGAGGACACCGGGTGGTAGGTCACCAGGGTGGAACAGGACCGAAAATGACCCGTGCCCATCTCGCGCCATGGAAAGGGACGAAGACGTGGATGATTTGGGGAGGTTGCATGGTGTGTGTCTTGGACGGCTTCCATCCTAACATATCCCAACCCAAGCTCTTGGAGTTTGCTAGAAGCAAATGTGCATGCGCTGCGAAGATTTGTCCTTCTGAGCTGAACCAGCGCGCATGAATGTGGAAAACACCTGTGTGTAAAGGAAAGTCACCTTCCAACTCACCATTTGTCACGTCCATGCTAGTGAGTCAGAGTCAGTCAGAGTGTTTGAAAAGAGTATATAGTGGCAACTCTTTATCTGTATCCCGAACTTACGTGCTAGGATGTTCGTACGATTCATATGCGTCCATGTTCGATGGAGTTGGCTGGAGAGTTAAACTAGCTATATAATTATATACTTATATACCAATATGATCAGCCTCACCTCCTGAACTCTTGGACTGTCATCAGCCACGTCCAGTCTCTTTTCTCACTTGGCCTTGTGCGTTTCCGTACCCCACGCGCCGCGCCCTCCGGGAGCCCCAAGCGTTCACGTAGCCAAAGAGACAAACCCCTCCCGCAGAGCTTAGCCTGATAGTTTTCAGGTCGGGCAGGACAAGAAGTATGTGACCAGAGGTGGCTAAAGTGGGTCTGGCTGAAAACATAGGGTGGGGTTTTTATGCCGGGTTAATGGGGAGACCCCCGATCGGCCCAGACTGGATTATGCTCCTTCTTCCAAGGTCCTTTCGTGGTCTCCTTATTTTCACATCCACCCATATACCGTCCGATCTTCAACTGTTGTATATGTCATGTTGTTTCTGGGAGTTCTACACGAATGGACGAAGCGGCATTGAAACAATCAAGCAGAAACCCTTGTTGCCTGATGTTCGTGGACATGTCAAACTTGTGAGGCGATGGCCATGACAAACCCACATGGCAATTGGTCAAACATCAGATGTCATAAGATCTTGACACTCGACTCAGAAGATCGCCCGAAACAAACAAAAGCAAGGACACGTCGCCGTAGAAGTCAAAGCAAGGAACAAAGATGTTTGAGCGCAAGAGTTGCTAAAAGCTTTGGATGGACCACGGTGCTTCTACGACAAAACAGATTGTGATGATCGCATGTTGTACCGCGTGCCCTTGAATGTTGATTGCTCTTTTGAGACAACAAGCATTATCAAGCACGATACCTTTGCAAACCAAACGCCAGCTGCCTTGGAAGAATATCTAATCTAATCAAAAAAGGCCATTTGGAACATTCCTCACCTCCACGACTCACATCCCATGCGCAGCTGGGCCCCGGGCAGCTTCAAGGCCGAGTTGGTGGCATTCACTTTCTTCAAGACCTGTTTGCTTAGCGCACAAGCACGAGCCAAGGCCTTGAAGCAAGGCAGGAGTGTCTGTTTTCGAGGGTGAGAAGGAAGGGCTCGAGATCGACTAGCTTTGTCTAGATAGCTCGGCTGCCCCAGAGCTTTTCAAGCTCGCTTTTTCCCGCGTTTCGAGCCATTTGTGCGTTCGCGGATCCGTGCCGTGGCGAAGTCTTCGCCTTCCTGGCATAGACGCCTGCGAGCCAGGCGTTCTGCTGCGCGTGCCTTCATCCATAGGCACCAACGCAAGAGGGTCTTGAATTTCCGGATCAAGACCAAGCTTCTCAGGCTTAGCACCTTGCTGCTTTCTCACCACTCTCAGCCACGTTATCGCTTCGATTTCTCGGCAGAGAACCACGGCATGACATGGAAGTCTCAGAAGGAGTGGAACCCACGTGCTCAGGAATGGCGACAGTCATGGCCAAGAGACACCAAGGGCGAGAAGGAGAAAGCCAAGAAGCAAAAAGACCAAGGCAGCGAGAGAGGCCACTTCTTCTTCGCTCACGATGGCCGAAAGGTGCAAGTCCCACATGGGCCAGGCACATCATCTGCTACCTCCTCGTCATCATCTACGCAGGCTATGATCGAAGAGAACAAGAAGCTCCGAGATGCACTGCGCAATTTGGTGGACAAGGACCCCAAAGATGGGGATCCGTCAGTTGTCGAGGAGTGCAAGAAGCTGGTGCACGACCCACGGGAGGACCTGCGAGTGAGACAGCGAGAACTCAACAAGGAGAAAAAGGCCATTACAAAGCGACAGAAGATCGAGCAGACCATCAAAGAGAAGCAGGACAGTTTCCAGGCATGGAGGGCTGGCTTCATGGAAGGTCTCAAAGGCGAGGACGCGCGACATCTAGAAGAGGTCGAAGCTTTGAGAAAGGAGCTCAAAGAGACCACAGAGGACGAGGAAAAGATGGACGAAGAAGAAGAGACGGACAGGGACAAGGGCCTTGTCTTCCAGGAGCTAGCGGAAGTCAAGCATCGTATGAGCTACATGGCGAGCTATGTAGAGGCGATGGAGAGGAAGAACCAGCAGCTGGTCTCCGAAATGAGCAGCCAAGTGCAGTCTCTAGTCAGTGCAATGCGCACGACACATCAGCAGGAGCTTTACAACAAAGAGTCTCCGCAGATTGTCAAGCCACCAAGCAGAGTCGCCTTGGCTGTTGGTGGAGGCGAGACGACTGGGAGGTCGGATCGGTCAAGATCTCCTTGCAAGAAGACCGACAAAGAAGTCGAGGAGGAGAATGCATTGATGGAAAAGGAAGAGCTTTTCCAGCGCATCCTGAAGGATGTCCCAATGGAGATCTATGTGGAAGTGAGGGCCATTGTCGAAGCAGAGATAGCCGCATATCAGACAAAGGAGCAAGTGGACGACTTGGTTCGACACATGATTGCACAAGCCAAAGCGCTACCACCAGCAGTGAGCCTGGATTCGCTGGATTCACCCAGCGAGGTCCCAGGCGTGATCCGAACAGTACTGCAGCCTTTTGGTGGACCAAGTCATCCATACAGGAAGATCGAGAAGAACAAGGAAGCGAAGCCTTCAGAGGCTGCGAAGTAGCTGCAATGAAGGGAATGCAACGCCGCATCTGCAAACTACAAGGTGCATGTGCGGAGAATGGGTATGAGATCTCTATGCCTTTTGCTGATGATCATGCCGCTTTCTTTCGAGTGTGCGCCGTCTTTCAAGGCAGCACCTATACGAAGCCAAGATCCTTTGTGCTCACAGGTCGATTTGATGCCAGTGAGACCCTTTTTCCGGCAAAGCACAGTTTTCTTGCCGTGAACTCCGTAAGGCCATTTTGGGATGATGGGAACCTATCTTTTGGGGCTGATAGAAACCCACAACCCTCTTATAGTTCCGGGGGTGAAGGTCTGGTAACGGATGAGCACCCTTGTGACATTTTTGTTCCGAATGGGCATAGATGCTTATCGTTTCATGATGATCATGACGATCATGCGGAACTATGCCATGATGTTCCAGGTATGAATGAGAGACGGTTTGAAGATGATGTGACAGATGTCCTTGAAATAGCCAGTGACACCTGGTGTGGAGCTAGGTGTCCTTTTCCTTTGCTGGCCTTCTACTGTGACCTCTGGAGCATTTGGGAGTTGAGCAAGCTTTACATCAACGGCATCATGCTATTTGGGGCTTTCGTTGGACTTGCCAGCTCTAGCTACGAGAATTTCGCCTATCTAAAAGAATGGGCGAGAGGCAGGCGCCTTTTCCTTGTTCCGCCACTGGGAGAGCTATCCTATGCTTTGAAGTGGCAAGCACTCAGTCTCTGTCTAAATCTCTCCATCCTTGAATTTGATGTCTCTATCGAAGAGAATGAAGGGGAGTCTCATAGACTTGATGGATTGGCGCTTTTGATTTTCTTGTGTCGAGCTCAGGGGATCCATTTGCTTGCATTAGGGTTTCTTTGCAACTGGAGAATCCGACGAGATGAAAGGTTGAAATTTCCAGCTCGAGCAAGATGGCATGGTAGGCGTTTTGCCTGGAAGACCAGCCGTAACACAGCCACCAGAAGACTGATAGCATGCTTTTTGCTTTTCAATCTACTTGGCAGTGAGGCAGCCGGCATTAGTACTAGACTTGCCGACGTACCAAGGGGAGACATTGATGGTCAGACCGTTTGGAATAATGTGCAGCAACCTTTTCGACCTTACGAGGTTTCTGCAGCAGAAGGCGACACAAGCCGAATTGAAGGTTACAGTGTCCATTTTGGAGTTGAGGCGAATTTTGAGGAGATTAGCAGACAAGATGCTGGATCCGGTTCTTCGATTGACCCCTCATGTGGATACTGTGCTCCGGGTGACCGTCGAGCAAATTCAGCGCTTTGCGCTGAGTGCAATTTTGAGCCAATTTTTGTGGAATGGAACATTACATTTGTTGCCAATCCGAGATCTGGCGAACGAACCAATACTGAGGATTTTACAAATGGAGAAAACACTGCAACTCCGCATGGCGAGGCTGATTCGACCACTGTTCTTGGCGAAGTAGAAGTGGATGTCTCCTCTCTTATGCACCAAGTTAGTGATTTCCGAAGATCAGAGCCATTTGCGATTGCTTGCGAAAGAGGACGACCTCTCTGGCCTGCACTGCAATTATCCAGAAGAGCATTCACCCCAATTTGGTTCCAAGAAGGGAGAGACATTGGTTTCGAATTCTTCAGATCTGCTCAAGGCGTATGGCAGAAGAAGGTTCTTGGCTGGAAATTTCTCACCTATGAACAAGAGATTGGGACTCCTTTTGGCATTCATCTTCTGCAGCGGGGGTTATGGGCTGCCCAACTTATCACACCATTTGAAGACGAGGATGTCCTCGTAGTCTTTTTCGTAGTGGTAACTCCACAGCCCCTCCTGACGTTCCATGTTGAACATGATCGAGGCATGCACGACACAGTTGTGCTTGCCATGAATCCAGAGACTTTCGCTTCTGACCATATACACTTGGTGATCCAGTATGCCATCGAAGGGACTTTGATACAGAATGCTCTACGATGTCCTGTGGCTTGTTCGCCAGTGATGATCTGTGTGGCTCTGGGATTACAAGAGCAGTGCCAAGACCCGTGGAGAGTTCGAGCATACTTCCGAATTGAACAAATCGAAAGAGTCTTTTGGGATTATGAACGCATTGGGCTGCCGAATGGGGCTTTTGCTCACTTGAGTTTTCATCCGTCAGAAGACACGTGTGTTCCAGAACCATCACTTCAGTTCCCATTACGTGAGCATGAAATGCTTATACGACCTGACTTTGATGATGCCCACAGTGCCATCTGGGAGCTGGAGACAGATCAGGTTGGTATGATGCAGGTCAGTCCTCCCATTCCTGACTTGGTTATGAGATATATAGCTGAATTTGGGGCTTTCGATGACACTATCGGCATTGTCTCATGGCTGCACATGGATGTGATGATTGACAGAACTGCCAGTGTCTGGCAGAGGGCTCAATACAGCAACCGATTCCCTGGTGGACTCTTCGTCCGAGGAATTTGGGATAGGGCCCTAGCAATGCAGAGCTGTTATGTCTTCCCAGTTCGGCCTGCTCCTACATTTGCTGAGGGTCCAGTACCAAATTTTATCGTCACCAACTTTGAAGGGGAAACCCTTTTTCCAACGCTCCTGCTGTATGTTACAGAAGCTGATCGAAGGCTATTCACATTTGTCTTCCAGGTGCAGAGATGGCCAACGATGCTGGAGGTCTTTGATGCTACTGTACCCGGACATGGATGCGTATGGGATTCTGACTGCAGTATCAGAATGGGACCCTATGATGCTGAGCGAACTCTGGTGTGGGACATGCAGGTTGCGCTGTATGAAGGAGCCTATCTCAGACTCCAGGAATTTCGACGAGGTCAAATTGCAGTGCCTGTGGCTGCAGACCCAGGAACGACCTGTGGAGAGACTGAATCAGGGTCTTCGTCAGATGGGTCGGATTCATGGGAAAGTGGCTCTACACTCGACTCTCCTGAGAATAATCCCAATGACACTGGCGGAACGGGTGAGCATGGGGATGAGATTGAACTCCGACAACATGCAGTCAATTTGATGCAATATGCCTGGGAAATTGAGATGGCCAAAGATGAAGCGGATTTCTTGGCGGGAGCTCAGGCCTTGTCCGGGAATATCCTCGATGATGCCAAGTATCCGGAAATGTTGTTTTTGAAGGTCCAGAATGGAATGGAAGAAGAGTCTAAGGCAGACGAGCTCCAACACTATCTGCGCACTCGCTTCCCTGTTCATGAACTTCCTACCTTCACCGTGCATTTCTGGATAGTCGATACCGAAATTGCTACTTTTGCACGAGTGCTACCGCTCTTTTCTGGCAGATCGATGACGGACTCCATGAGAAGGGAACTGCAGCACAGTGATGAAAGTGAATCATTCTGGGTCTCGGCAATTGACCCCATGCCTTCGCCATTGACCTTACGGATTTGCCCACTGGACCTAGTTGTCTTGTCCGCAAAACAGAAGAG